CCATCAGGTGTCCAGTGAGTGTCAGACCCTGTGTGTGTGTCCATCAGGTGTCCAGTGAGAGTCTGACCCAGTGTGTGTGTCCATCAGGTGTCCAGGGAGGTGTGTGACCCAGTGTGTGTGTTCTGTTGGCAGCTGGACCCAGAGAACACCGGTTTCATCGGAGTGGAGAACTTCACCACCCTGGTGGAGCACCATGAGCTGCAGCTGGACCCTGCCAAGCTGGAGATGCTGTTCGCCCTGGTACAGAGCAACGAGGAGGGCCAGGTCTGCTACCAGGAGCTCATCGAGCTGGTGAGTGGGCTGCATTCAGCTTCCCAGCAGACAGGAGGGGTGAGGATTGGGGTTAATCCTTTTACACATAACTCCTGCCCCTGTGGGCACCTGCCGTGTGGTCCCTTCAGTTACTATTATTCTATGTCTGTGTGCTAACGGCACTGATATCGGAGGCATTGCTGATTCATAAAAGCACAAGATAGCCAATGTTTTTAATTCAATCTGATATATACGTTTTCTATTATCTTAAGGTCAATTCCTTTAAGAAGTTTGTAATGTTGTTTATTTCTATACGAGAGCAACTGTCCCTTAATAATGCATGTGAAAGAAATCTAATATCTTAAAGTTCCCATATTTATTAAAAAAAAAAAAACACATGGAATAAGTAAGAACTCCGTTTCTGCTAGTGTCTGCAATTTCGGGTCTGTTTTTAAGGATAGTGTTCATGTTATGGATCAGTTTAACATTTACAATGCAGAAGGAAATACATTTCTGAGAGGTAACCAAATTTTCAACACAACCGCTGACACTTTCCTACAGTGTGGAAAATTACAGATGGGTGTACACTTTTGTTTTTTTGCCATCAGTCAGCTCCCTTTAAATGTTCATTTATTTCGCTAATAAAGGAATGCAAATGAAGCCAGGCACCATCACAGCTCTTCGCAAATACAAAAAAAAAACAAACACAAAAGGAAACAGCTCCGATTATACCATTTTATAATTCACATCTTAATTGTGCAGTGTGCATTGATTGGTCCTCTGGTGCCCTGTGGAACGAAGTGTTTGCCTGAATTAATTAATCTGAGAGGCTTTGTCTCTTTGAACTTTGACACGTGACCCTTTGAGGGCAGCGTGAAATTGTGATTCGGGCTTTGGCCTCATTCTGGAAAGGTCAGGGGTTAGAGGTCCCAGCATACACCTTGCTGTTGTATCTTTGAGCACCACACTATCACTTTTTTTCGTTTCTTCAGCTTATACCTTCCCATTAAGAATCGCAAATTGTTTCTTAACGTCTCATCTCACAACATTGACTCTTGTTCAGGGGTTGCTGCTCCAGTCAGAGGTGGTGCAGCTGTCACTGACTTTATTGCAGGCACCCTTCGGCACATAGGTTATTCGTTCGCAGATCTGCTGTAGTAGCCTGGAAAGTTAATGTTCAGCAACACAGGAAGTTAGCCAGGGGCCAGGAGAGCCTTAGCCATCTAATGCCAGCTGACAAAATCTCTGGAGGCCTTATGCCAGTTACCCAGTTTGCATGTTGAAGAATCCCGGTTACAGTTGGCTACAGATGAGGTCCAGGCTTCAAGTCATCGAGCTCAGCCTGTAATCTGAATGAGTGCCTTTACTTGCCAGTTGGGAGCCCTGGGATCTTGCACTTTAACCTGATCGGACTTTCTGTGACCTCCACTGAGACCAGATAAGCTCTGAGTTCGGCAGGCGTGTGCAGCACTTGAATAATGTCTCGCTGGACACTTAGGCTTGGTCCCAAACGTGCTATCAGTAGCTCTGACGCAGGCGTGGTGCCAGTGAATGGGAAGCACTCCTCTGTACATACGTTATTCCTTCACAGATCTGCTGCAGTGGCTGGGGCACTAAGCGTTCTGCCATCGAAGACGTGATAAAGTGAGCTAAACACAGCAACGCCTGAGTATAGATATACATCGTTACCGAAAATCAGAAATGGCTTCCATTAAGATAAGGTTTCGAAAGGTGTTACTGCAGAATTATATTTTTAATTGGCAAGTTAAATCTGCTGTGCTTGCAGGGCTTAATTTTGCATGGCTGCTGTAGATTTTTAAACTAACTGTGTTGCTAATAGAGATATACAGCTTATCTGTGTGTGGTTTGCATGTGTTATAGTATCAAAGTAACACAAATTTACTATTCAGGCAGAGGTCATTCTAGATTATGTCTCTTTAAAAACCAGTCTGTAAATCCCGTTGTTTAGGAAATTAGGGTTGAAATTCTTCGGAATGGGGATGTGAAATAGCTGCTGCCGTGTCAGCTGTGTCTGTGCACGGTTAGACTTGATGTAACGGGGGGAAGTGGAGGCGAAATGGGATTTTGACAGGCAGAGAAATTGTGCGGGGAGAGTAGAGTTTGACGGACAGCCCCAGGCCTGGGAATGGTGAGATAAGGGGCTGGCAGGGCTCCCACAGTCGGAATGAAGTGTTTTTCTGGAGAACAGGGAAAGTCGAGGTGTGTACGTCGTCCGACCAGCCACTCATTCAGCTTTTCTGCCCACAGAGGTGGAAAACTGGCGTTCCATCAAGTCAATTTAACTTCTCCTTTCCAGACAGGCCGAGTAAGAAAGGGCCACCGTGCCGCGTGATCGGCAGTAAATCCATCAGTTTAAAAAATATGAAGATTACAAGCGGCAAAAATGGAAGATAAGTACTCAATGGCCACAATATTAGGAGCAAGTCAAACAAACAGGAGGTCCCAGTCAGAGACGGCAGATGGCTGGCTGCCGGAGCACGAGACGGGCTGCCATTGCCTTCCCTGACCATTACAATCCCCGGATCAGATACTGGTGGAGCCGGTAGGATGTGTGGTACAGTCCCACACACCGTTCGGCCTCAGAAGGTCAACCAGCACACCCTGTCCTGTTTGAGCCGTTCAAGCTACTCATCAAGGCCCAGTGCGTTACCCAGCAGGGGGTGGGTTCCTAATATTTTGGTCAGTGACAGTATTACACTTCATATCACTGCACCACATACGTAGCCTTTGAAGAAAGACAATCTCTGTGTTGTGTATATCAGATATAAGTCTATCTTGTACCTTTAAGGTATGTGTACATACAGTACCCCTGCGTGTCAACGTGTAAAGAAAATATCCTGACAAACTGAAATAGAATTTGGCATCCGGACAGTCCTCAGAACGTAAGTGGGATGCAAAGTGGATTGAGCTTTTTGATCAAGTGAAGGCGCTCTTTCACTGATTCATGAAGGAAATCACACACTGCTCAGCTAGCGCTCCTGTAGAAGAGGCCTGGTGTGGTTTCCAGCCCTGCGGGCCTGTTTGTGTTTATCCTGGGGCCCGACGCAGTCAAAACAACCTTCCCCTCCTTATTCGGCAAAACCAACCCTTTCCTCTGTGCTTCGTCCCCGCCATGGGCTGCAGCCAGGCGCAGGACGAACTTCATAAACATCCATTTCAGGCCCTGCCTGTTCCTGAGCGGCGCACAGGGCCTTAATTGTGCAATTTTCTCAGGGGACGTTGCCCTGATTATTTTGAAGACGGGGCTGTGGGAGGAGCTCTAGAGGGAACCTGCTGAGGGCAGAGAGCATCTCGCTGGCCTGTCTGCTTCCTCGATTGATCAAGCTTGCAAAGCCTCACTTGGGCCCAGCAGGGGCTGTGTGGAAGTCAGCTGCACATCATAGCAGAGGAGTAATTGAGATAGCTGGCTGAAGTTGTACCCAGTCACAGGACGCCCCCTGGAGACATGCAATCAACTGTTAAAAAGTCCTTATATTTTTGGAATCTGCATCCACAGTGCATTTGGTAAAATCCTGCAGAGTTTCTTATTTTTAAAGGAAATTGGTTTATCATAACAAATAAACTTTCTCTAGAAATATGTTCCCTCAAGTGATTCAGATTGTGTCTACTGTTCTTGTCTCATTGCATACAACCACGGTCTACTGAAAACCAAGACCTCAGTCCTGCAATCCAGACTCCCTGTGAAATTTGTTTTTTTTTTCCTGCTGAGATCCTAATTACATAGATTCATGGCCGGGTTTTGATTCGGGATCGTGAGCTATTTTTCCATTTAATATCCTCTCGCCTTTGTAATTGACACTTCTTAATCAGAACTGCTCAAAGGCACAGCCCTCATACAGGTACGAGGGGGCTGGGAACCATGCGGTTCTGTTATTTCACATCAGCCATACAATGGTCAGTATTGTAAAGACCGATTTTCTGACATGTTTGAAAGCAGGACACCTATCGTGTGTGTCGGTGGCAATGACGCCTGTGATTTTACTGGCTGAGGCTACAAAAGATGTGTGACGAACAGATGTATTTGTCTGTCTGGCATTTCCCGAGGTCAGAAGGATTCTTTCCCTGTGGATGGTTACATACACGTCCTTTCCAAATATTTCCATTTTCCTGACACAACACACATGGCAGCAAAGTAGTCTTTTCGTGCTGCGTCTAAGGGTATAAAAGTGCACAGAAAGGCACTCTACCTACTGTATAGGGCTGAGGTCTGAGAGAAAATGGTGTCTCACTTCTCACTCTCATGATGGCCCTCCTTAATTTCCAAACTACACTGAGCTGTGCTGTGATTTCTTGCAGCTGTCCCCAACGGTATCCATAGTCCACACTGAGAGCAAGTTTATAGGTACTGTACCTGGCAAGGCTGGGGGATTGCTACTGGGCAGATATCCTGGCAGGCTAAACCTAGGTTTGCATTTGGCAAACTAAGTACCACTGCTTGGAGCACCTCAGTCAAATTCAGCTAAAGAACTATGTTTTAAAATGTAGTCTGACAAAGAATTTAAATAGTCAAGCATTCTCATAATAAGTTCCCTGAGTTCCAAGTGTGTCCAAATGGCTTACATTTTCAGAGACCTACTGTAGCTATTGAAAGGATCTGAACCCCAGCACTTGTTGCAGGGTTAGTAGCGATTTCTGCCCCGAGCCTCATCCAGTTTTTCAAGAACTGACAATGTTTCAAGGCTTGACCAAGCGATTAAAGTGCACAAGAGGTTTAGGGAATTAAACTCAGGGGACTGTAGTGATCTTGAGGAGGGATGTAGGATGGAGAAACGCGTCTTGAAACTCCTTGAGGTGTCAGTCTTCACAGGGGTTGATGTTATCTAAGCACTTTGAGAAGCCACCTTTAAAGGCGCTATATAAAATAAAGTTTATTATTATTATTATTATTATTATTTTTATCATCTGACAGGACAATTAGAGGACTTGCGTAAATTGCTCTGCGCTCAAAGACCCAATTGCAACCCTCCATTTCCTTGTGGAAAGGAATTATTTTGACATTGTTGTTTAATTCTTCTAAC